CACAATACAGGCCGTTTACGAGAGATGTTTTCACGTAAATACCTCAAAACGCTAAATTAATACTCTTTTTTGATCGTCTGTTCCATTGGAAAGAAATCATGATAAATCAAACCACGGATATCGAAAAACACGATATCCGAAAGCTTTCTGATTAAAATGTACCATAATAGTGATTCAAATGTGGCCACGTGTCGTGCTTTACTACTCACACAATTGGTAAAGTTTTAGAGAAAAGATAAGGAGACTGGATCGGTGTGTGCATCATCAATTTGCTCGTTCCAACTCAAATATCGCTATTGTAAGGGAATGCGTAGTTGAAGACCCGAATGCGTCTATTTCTCGGTATTCTCAAAAGCTGCGGCTCTCTTATGGCACATTAAGACGTATTTTATATTTGTACTTGCACTTACATCCATATAAAGTACAACCCACACAGCAACTCAAGCCAGCCGATCATTCAAAACCCCGCATAAACGTCGATTAATTCACCTGAACAACTTGCAATCGACGACGATTTTTCGAACGAAATTTTCTGCAGCGCCAAGGAACTTCCTTACTCGAGGCATATGTAAATAAGCGAAGTTGTCACCTTTTGGAGTTCCGATAATCTTCAAATAATGACAGATAGGCCTTTACACCCAACAAAAAAAATATTCTGTCTGTTAAGTTTTTTGATCCCTAGGTCTGATTGAACCGACAACAGTGACACCATCAATGTTAATTAGAGCCTTTAATTGTAAAACGCCACTTGGAAAATATGTGGTTTCAACAACATGGTGCCACATGCCACATAACACGAGTGAATATGGTTTTATTGCGAGAGAAATTACCCGACCGCATAATCTTAATCGCCTTAATCGCCTTAATCGCGATGTCAATTGGTCACCGAGATCGTGCGATGTGACACCGTTGAACTTTTTTTGTGGGGCCACGAGAAAGGCCGTGTTTATGCAGAAAAAACTTTAACTTTTGCGCACTTCAAAATTAACATTTTTCTACTTATGGCTGAGATACCGTCTAATATGTATCATGTAAGAATAATTCTAAATCCATTTTTTCGAAACCGCCAAATTGATAGCCCTGTATGTATGTAAGTATTTAATATGACAAAATACATGTTCGCTTATTCGTGTGTACACCTGACCATACAAATAAATATAGCAGAGCGTGAGGGAAAAAGGTGTGCGTAAGTCTGTCCTTATGATAAAAAGAAAATGAAAATCGATATAATCGATTATTTTACATAAATGACTCTCCAATACAGGTGACTACAACCGAAGTAGGAAACTAATTTTTAATTTAATTTTTTCTGATATACACTTTTCACCTGTCAAAGTTCACACGCAGAAAACACACAAAAAAAGCGTTTAAAAGGAAGCAGAGAACTTTCCACAACAAAAAGACGTCAAACCAAGCCTGGTATTGAACGGCTCGGAGAGGTCGATGTGCAGACAGTCAAGTAGCTTGGTAAATTTTCTTGTGCTGGAATCTGATATTACACACAACCATGTTTCGCGTTACGGCGACCAAGTCGATCTCCATCAACCCATTTGAAGATATTTCGTTGAAGATTTCGCTGAATTTTACGAAGGTTGTGACGAAGATACCTTTTTACCCACCCTAGCGCTAAAGTCGGCAACCATAATTTTTGCATTGTAGCTGAGAAAACGCTCATAAAATGCGTCTTTGAGCACATCGGTGTTCTTCTCTTCCGACGGGTCGTAGACGCAAATAAGCAATATCGTAAAAAATCCTTAATGGTGAATGCCAGGACTCGCAAATTCAAATTTTTGCACCTTCATATGGCACAAGGAACTACTCGTCTTGGTCCTTGTAGCGTCTAAAAGCAGTTGTTGGACTGGACTGCAGTTTCGTGCCAGTTAAGAGATCAGACATTCCAAGTGAGCTAGCTCCCACGTGGTTGGTCCCAAAACCAGCTAACAACATTTCTCGGTGATTTACTTTGAATTTAGCACACATTTATATAGCGGTCCGTTTGCTTCAAGACCGACGCCTGCTCCTAGCCGCACCTCGAACAACAGACGACGCAAAGACTTCAGTGAACCGAATATGTCGGAGTAGCTTCACTGATGCTTTCTCGTTTTTAGCCTTGACCCAAAACTCGACATGGGTTGGTTACCGCATCTTACAAGGGTTACTCACAATTCTAGGATGTGCGATGGGGACGCTAGAGTAGGAATTGATTATAGCTCAACGATTGTAACTGCATACCCAGAAGCTTAACTATATCCTCTGACACCCACTCTTGTTGCCTTATGATGACTGCATAATGTTTAAATATTATTAAATATGTCAAACTAGTTGTCAGGCCACAAGCAAATGATGGGCAGCAAAAAGTATTAGTCTTCCTAGTCTTTTTTGACCACTAACAACGCAAGCAACGCAACGCAAGTTTAATGTGGCACTAATGACGTTGAATTATGTCTAAAGTATTTGTGCAACACTCCATATTTCACCAATGAAGTGCAATTACATATGAACAAAAAACACTTACGCATACATACTACTTCTGGGCTTATCAAACAGTAACACACCCATCGTCATCTGGTGACCATTTATTGCTTGCCACCCTAACATAACTTGGCGAACCAACGAACCGGCAATCAGTCAACCACTTGACCATTCTTTCATTCCGCTTCAATTAATCAGTTAGTCATTTAGTCAATCATTCATGCCAATTATACTATTTTTGTCCTAGGCCCAGGAAAATGCGCATGCGCTAAACTTTTGTACTCCCACAAAGGCACTCTCTGCTCACTGTGCAACGAAATGTGGATTGAGTAAGCAGACAATTGAGAGCGCAGAAGAAAAATCAATTACACTAAGAAGTGGAAATTTTTGACACCAAATCGTACAAAGCAAAGTGGCCTATAATCAGATGTTATAATAGCATTGCCACATTTTATAATGTTTTTTAATTACAGCCTGCCATTCGGAAGGCCAGAATTCCTATTTCCTATTTGTAGACACCCCTCGGCAGTGAATGGATTTTTGACATGAAAACAAATTTTTTTCTTATTTATAATTGACAAATCGGTTAGATAATCAACTAGCTGAAGAGTTTGTATGAGTTCCCGACTTCCACATCACGTTAGAGCCGTTACTCCTTCGTCCAGGTAGTGCAAAAATTGTAGCCGACGATTTCGTGGGTTGTAGTTGCAGATGTCGTGCCATGAAGTAGTAGGAAAGGTCAGCGAGATAGCAGTTTACTTTCGAATATAAGCTAATGAGTATCCTTGCCAGACGTCAATATCGAGCAGTCATTCGTATATAAAATCAAAATGAAACGCTTTCGAAGGAGAGAACTTCGAGATGTAAAATTTAAGAAGAAGCGAGCAGAAGACGACACTGCCCAGTGGAACTCCTTCTATAATCATACTGAGTTCAGAAGTTTAATATTGAAATTTATCGTTGATTGTCGACCACTCAAGTAACCTATAGTCCACCTCTTCAACCATGGCGGTAATGAGGAATGCTCAATGTTCGATAGTAGCACAGTATGGTTGACGCTGTGAAACGCCTTTGACAGGACCGGTTTTGTTTAAGGCCATCAACTAACTGGGTGTTTATTGCGTGAAGTGCGGCTGTGGTATTATACAATTTTCGGAAACCTGATGATGTGTTCAGATGGCGTGAGAAGGGCGAAGTCCGCCACTGGTGAAAGTAGATATTTAACATAAGATTCTCACATTTTGGTTAGTTTCCCCGATCATCCAGCAAAGTTAAAAACAACGCGTTTTCACTGTTTTGGCGCCAACTGGAAATGTCATACATAGCAAGACCCACCGGGAACTTCTTCTTCTTCTTCACCAAAACCTTTCTCTCCACAACTCCCAAGAGCAACTCAACAGATGCACCATTATGTAGGATGGGAATGATAAGCGGCTTGTTGAGTTTGGACTTTACTTTTCAATACCCAAGTAAAACCAGTTGGCAAGAGTGATACTGCGTGGGACTTCTAGACTGACATTGCTGTTCGTGCCCGTGCTGGTTCCCAGATAGACGAAAGTTATAACTATCAACAGTGACATGGGAGTTGAGCCGTGAATGCGATGGTTATTTGTTTGATGACAGGAGGTTTTTCGTCTTGTCCTCGCTTAGTACCAGACCCACCCGTTTGGAGAAATCAGAACTCACAGTGCGGTTGTTGAGACCGATAATGTCAAAACCATCGGCGTACGCTGGCTCTCTTGTACAATCACTCTGTCTGAAAACTCGTTTGGTATTGAATGCCTCGGAGAGGTCCTTCCCGATCCAGACGTATAAGTTTCGCGGGGATATCAAATGCAGCCGTAGCGGTCTAGAGATAGCTCGTTATTGGCAACTTTCAAATCGACAAAGAGGCGGTGTGTGTCGAACCTCTTTTCACGGATCTTTTTCAAAATTTTGCACATGGTGAATTTCTGATTAATATTAGATTTACCAGGTCAAAAGCCACACTGACGGTGCACTTTAGTCCTTCATACAATACGCTCGGTAATAATTTATATGTAATATAAGGAGGCTTATCCCACGATAATTGGCATAGACTGTGGGTACCACTTTTTGTGGATTGAGCAAAGCACACCAACGTTCCAAATTCTTGATTAAAGTTGTTCTTTATGTATACACTTACTTCCGGCAACGCTTTTGTCATTCAATTGTATGGCAACCATATTCAAAATAACGGTAAAACCGAAAAATGAAACGGAACTGAAAACGAAACATAAAATCTGACAGTTTAAAGAGAAATAAGTTACGAAAGTACACACACACACATACCTAAAATGCAACACCAAAAAAAAAAAACATCAACAACAAAAATAACTTAAACTGCTTCAACAAAAACTGAGCAAATTTCTACGAAAGGAAACAACAACAAACGAGTGTCCAACGAAAGTCGACGCAGGCGAGAGCAGTCCTCGGCAGCCAGCAGCCGACGAGCGCGCTATTAGTAGGCAGTGCCATTGCCAGTGTCAGGAGTGTCAGACAACTTCGAGTGGAAAAGTGACATTAGCGATTTGCGTGTGGCATGTGAAAGCAGAAAATTTCTTACAAGAAAAAATTAGTAATACATAAAGGTGGAAGGCAACATGTAAAAAGCAGATTTTGTGTATAACAAAATAAGTGATATTAAAAAGTTTGTTTAATAAAATATTAGTGAATGCGAGGTTGCTGCTTTGAGCGTGGAAAAAAGCATAATTGAAGAATATAAACTACATTCACGTAATTTTGCTGACGGAAAACCATTTTTTTTTTCGATGAGTGCGTAAGGCTTAGGGGGGAGAGATATTCGCGTGTATGTGTGTATAAATGAAAGTAAGGCAGAAGGCAGTGAGAGCGTAGCAATTACTTACGACCCAACCCCGCTGTTTTCAGGAACAACAACAACAACAACAACAACAACAACAACAATAATCGTAAAAAATATCAAGAGCCGAAATGGTTTAAGTGTGTGCCTAAGTGCGCGCGCGTGTGTGTGTGTGTGTGTGCGTTTGAACATCGCTGATATCGCCATCGCCTGGTCTGACCTTTTTAGCCTTTTCTGCCCTCAAGGTGCATGAATGTCGGTGCGTCGTTACGTTGGCACGTCGTACGTCCTGCTTAGTGTCATTTGTCGTTAAACCGTTATCGGTGCGTATACTTTTCATTCATTCGCCAATCGAATGGTCGGCTGTCGCGGTGCTGTCGTCATCGTGTAGGGTTTTTTATGCGAGCAGAAAATTAGAAAGCGTTTTTTTCATCGCCTGATAAGTAATTGAAAGGAATTGAACTTATTTCCAATGCCTACAGACATGCGTACATGCGAACATACATACTAACAAGAGTGTTCGCTGTGCTTGTTGTTGTCATTTATTGGTGAGCGAAAAATTTTCAAGTATACAAACTTCCAATCAATGAGAAAATGGTAACGATGACTTCAGAGATGGACAAAACGCAAACTTCAATCGTCATGGCTGTGAAGACTGTTGCTGCCGTTGACAATGCCGCTTTCGCAACAACAACAACAACAGCAAGCAGTCCAATACAGACGGAGGTCGGTGAGGAGTTGCCACACAGCCAACGCATTGCGCAAGCCGCTGGGAATGGTGGTGTTGCAGGCGATACTTGCAATGAAATGCAAACAAAAGTTGCGACCACAACACATACAACAGACTCGGTGTCGGCCACCATGAAACCCTTAGAGCTCTCAAATGTTACAATCTCTATCGAGTTGGCCAGTGAAGATGAGTCTTCAACAGCAGCGACGCCTGCCAGTGGCAAGGATGTGTCTGTCAGTACACCTGTCATACCAACAACGCCAAGTACACCGCAAGGAGCAACGCCCAAAACAACTACTACGCCCAGTGCTGCCGCTGCGCCAACGGCCCACGACCACCCACCCAACACACCTATCACAACAGCGGAAACAGCAATAATATCAACAACAACACCAATAGCAACAGCTGTGGAAGCGACGTCTGCAACACTCAGCAAGACAACGCAAGCAAATACTGACGCAAATGTGACATCAGCCATTATTGAAAGTCCCCCCGCTACGGTAAACTCAGGTAGTAGAGCAATAAATGATCGTGTTGTGGACAGCTCTAAAGTCAACAGCAACAACGTTGCTACGCCAGTCACGGCCAAAACCATCGCCAACGTCACAAAAGATACCAAAGCGATAGCATCAATCACATCATCAGCATCAACAGCTTCGTCGTCGTCAACGTCCTCAACGACCAAAGTGAATTTTTGTATAAATACCAATGCCAATAACAGCACCAATAACACCAACACAACAAACAGCACGTGTACATCTAGTACGAATAGTACCAGTAGTGTGACCAGCATGTCTACGCCGGCTGCTGCAGGCGGTAGCGCCACTAGCAATGGTGCTGGTGGCGGTGCTGGTTTGGGTTTGAACAGTTCCCATTATCATCATCAGCAACAGCAGCAGAGTAGTCAGCATGGGAAGTCATCGGCCAGCTGTAGTGGTAGTGGAGGGGCCGGTGGCGCGGGTGGCTCACACACTGTACTGCCCGCTGGTAAACCCTCACACGCCACTGGCACCATAGTAAATCATCCACAGCAGCGACGTAATGAAGATGCACCCAATATTTTGGTATACAAAAAGGTAATCAAATACATACAAACACTTGCCTAATTGTGCTAAGCAAATGCGGAAATGTGGCATAGAAGGTTTATAAACAGCTAAAAGTAAAAGAAAAGCTGAAAGTATTTAGTAGGCAAAGAAAAAAATATTCAAAAGTTTCATTAACAGCCATTCAAGTCGCACAACTAAACAGATGTCTGTATATTTCTGTGTAATGTGTATGTGCTTGAACTTTCCTCGTTCTCGTCACCAACCCCATAAAATTTCGCCTCACGGCAAACTCACGGCAATCTCACGGCAATCTCACGGCAAAATGAGACTTTAACCTCAGAGTGTGTTTTTGCAGAATTTTCGAACTTTGTACGCATTCCTTTGACACTGGGGAGTAGTTTTAAACCAAAGCCTCGAATGCGTATTGTGTTAGTTTTGAAAAGAGGCTCCAATAACATTACCTTACTCCTAAAGCTATATACACGAGAGGATTAACAAAAGTTCGGCCAGTTGATGACTTTCCGTTTGTTTTTGTTAAATCTTAAAATACCAAATCCTTCGCTTTTACTTTATTAGTCTTCCTTTCAAATTTTAGTACGATCGACTAAAATAGGAGACGAAAAAACGCAAGATAGCTGAAGATAAGTCAGACGAAATTCCGCCACCAACGCAAACTGAAACTCACCATGTGATTCTCTTCGGGCTTCTGCGTAGTTTACAGCCAATTAAAGACTATTTCTAAGTGGTTCCCTAAGTTTCCACGCCGCACATTTTTTCGAGTGGAGCGAGTCGCAAGAAAGTCGACCAAAATCTTCCAAAATCAAAAATTGACGAGGACACATGATTGACACACGAACGGATTGCTAATGAAATTGGGTTGAATGCCATGGCTGTTTCACAGATATTAAGTAATCATCTGGGATACAGGAAGAAATCTGCTCAATAGGTACCACGAATATTAAATGAGACCCAAAAAAAAAACAATTCGAAAATGGTCAGTCCAGTAACTTTAGTAAAGCCATTACTGGTGACGAATTTTGGTTCAGCAAGTACGATCGAGAAACTAAACAGCAGTCCTTGGTATGGAGCCCAACATAAGCAAACTCATCCCTAAAATCTAGAAAAATACAGCAGCATGAGTAATGATGTCAGTCTACTCCACCCAATCTAAAATCGAAGCTGCCATGTCACTGGAAAAGGGTCAGATGGTAACTGCAAAATGGTCATCCGAAAATGCTTACAAAACGTTTTCAAAACTTTTTTGGAAAACAGAAAGTAACGAAGTAGCGAGTAATTTTATTGCGATCTCTGGGATTGAAGAAATCCGTCCAGCACTATATTCCCCGAATATTNAGCAATCTCACGGCAAAATGAGACTTTAACCTCAGAGTGTGTTTTTGCAGAATTTTCGAACTTTGTACGCATTCCTTTGACACTGGGGAGTAGTTCTTACCAAAATCTATAGTGCGTATTGAGTTAGTTCTGAAAAGAGACTCCAATAACCTTACCTTACTCTTAAAGTTATATACACGCGAGGATTAACAAAAGTTCGGCCAGTTGGTGGCTTTCCGTTTGTTTTTGTTAAATCCTAAAATACCAAATCCTTCGCTTTTACTTTATTAGTCTTCCTTTCAAATTTTATTACGATCGACTAAAACGGGAGACGAGAAAACGCAAGATAGCTGAGGAGAGGTCAGACGAAATTCCACCACCAACGCAACCTGAATTTCGCCATGTGATTCTCTTCGGGTTTCTGCGCAATTTACAACCAATTAAAGACTATTTCTAAGTGATCCCCAAAGTTTCCACGTCGCACATTTTTTCGCGTGGAGCGAGTCGCAAGAAAGTCGACCAAAATCTGCCAAAATCAAAAATTGACGAGGACACATGATTGACATACGAACGGATTGCTAATGAAATTGGGTTGAATGCCATGGCTGTTTCACAGATATTAAGTAATCATCTGGGATACCAGAAGAAATCTGCTTGATAGGCGATATGTACCATGAATATTAAATGAGACCCAAAAAGAAATAATTCGAAAATGGTCAGTCCAGTAACTTTAATAAAGTCATTACTGGTGACGAATTTTGGTTCAGCAAGTACGATCGAGAAACTAAACAGCAATCCTTGGCATGGAGCCCAACATAAGCAAACTCATCCCCAGAATCTAGAAAAATACACCAGCAAAAGTAATGATATCAGTCTACCTCACCCAATTTAAAATTGAAGCTGCCATGCCACTGGAAAAGGGTCAGTTGGTAACTGCAAAATGGTACTCCCAAAACTTTTTACCAAAAGTTTTCAAAACTTTGTTGGAAAACAGAAAGTAACGAAGTAACGAGTTATTTTACTGCGATCTCTGGGATCGAAGAAATACGTCCAGCGCTATACTCCCCGGATATAGCACAGTTTCTGATTATTTCCAAAAATTAAAGAAATAAATTGAAAAGTGAACGTCTTTAATTATAATTTATCCGTTTAATGCCGAACTTGATAAACTCAAAAAGCAAGATTCAAGGTAGTTTTCGACCCCTCTTTGGCCCATACTGAGCGTTTGCTTAGCCATAACTTGACGAAAGTTGATTTTCAAGTGCTCAAGGGTCAAACGCTGTCTTTAGCGTAGCCTCACAATAAGTGCTCCACAGTCATCAAATAGAACGATATTGGTGGCCAGCTGACATCACTAAGGCGATTATGTTTGGGCGGCCGGGTAATTTCTCTCGCAATAAAAAAATATTACTTCATATTGTGTGGCATGTGGCACAAACTTGTTGAAACCACATATTGTTCAAACCGCGTTCTTCAATTGAAGGCTAAAAAAGCGGTTATCATACGACCATAAGTAAGGTACAATCACACCTTCGAACCACAGAGCGCTTCCGACAGTAGTTTTTTTAATAGCCTCTCGTCAAGAACTGGAGGATTCTCGAAGCCCTAAATGCAACGATTTGACTTATTTCCGACCTTCGAGGGATAACTGTGCGTCCTCCTCGGCGTCCACTGCTTGTTGTTTTAGTAACCCAACGCCGTAGGAACGGCGGTATGAATGGTCAGCTGGCTTCAGTTGCTGAGTTGAGCTGGACTTAATATGGATTTTAGTGGCCGCAGAAGCTGATTGGGTAGGTAAGGGTTCGAGCACTGGTTCAACTAACATCTAAAATTATAGAAAATTAATTTTTCTATTTGCGGTCGTCCATCGGCAGGGAATTTTAAGTTCTTCGAGTGCATTTCTGACATGAAATAAATATCGTAAATATCGTAAATATCCATCGGTCATAACTTGACGGAGGTGGCTTAGAATAAACAATAGATACTCCATTAATGGAAAAGCTAAATAATTATTAAAATAAATTAAATATATTAATTTATCATAACGAAGTCGAGGTATAGTACCACGAGCTACATCAAAACCTAATTAAAAAAAATTAACTTTACATGAAATATTAAATTAAATAAATCACATGCTAAAAAACTAAAAACAGTATTTCGAATGTACTGTTAAAATTTGGTGAGAATCGGTGAGAATTTGTTGGAATTATGTCTTCGCCAAGTTTAAAAAAAATTATTTCGAGAGAAACGCGTTTAAAGTTGTAGGTCGCTAGGGGCATACCTGCGAGGCACTGCCGTCGTATGAAAAATTTGTACATTTAGACATTTTTGTTACAGTTTTTGAGGCATCCATCTTTTGGTATGTTATTTTTAAGACCCTAAATTACTTTTTAAGAAAAAAAATTCAAAAAAAATTCAAATCCTCAAAATATGACCACGTTTAGATCATCATTTATGTAGTAGATTTTTACAATTTTGACGCTTTGTGCGGTTGTCAGGTGAAACATTTTCATAAATGCCTGACTTTTAACCAAAAAAAAAACATGAATGGTGCAACAGTTACGTTTTGCAGATGTCCAAATACAGCTCTGTACTTTAGAAACCAGTAAATGGACAACCTTGTATATCGAATATATCGAAAACAGTTTGTCTTTAATAACTGATGGATCAACCGACATTCTTAAATTGGCATGGGAAGCACTTTTTCTTACGGAAAATAAACTAAGGGAAATGATATGAATATACATATATCGCTCTTCGGCTACATATGTCAATGGTCTGGGACCGGTCTTCAATGTTGGCATATAAAAAGCTCCTACCCTAGATCATGAGTTTATAAGTTGTAAAAAATATATAACCTAAAAACATAACAAAAAAATTTTAATACCATCTCTAAATTTTATACGGACGAACTGACGGACAAACTCTAGTCTCTTACTAAAAGATTTACATATCATACTATAATGGTAAAAGCAGGTACCGTAAGTTTAGTGAAGTAAAATGTTTAACTGCAACAGTTTCAGTTTCGCTTTAGTCGTTTTTTCTTAAGTTTCCCTTCGTATTGTGTGCGCATTAAGAGTATAAGGGCTTGGGTTATCTCTTTTTGTTGACAACAACAAGCTTTTGTGAGATTGTAACTTGATAACATGTCCTTAAAAGAATCAGTAGATCGGGGAATGATGTCAAGCTGGTAGATGTGTACAACCAAATTTGCTCCATCCATGAAGTAAAGCATATACGGGCACGTTCATATAGCTGCGAAAAAGCCATTTCATCAGTCACCCATTCTTATGTCTTCACCTATTAGTGTCTAGTGCCATCCAAATTTGTCTTTCCACATTTTCCTTATTGTTCTTTTAAATTATTTACTATTGATTTACATTAGTAAGGACAGTTTCCTCTCTCGTTAGTTCATTCACCTCGAAGTAAAAAGGCATATCCGCATTTCCTAGTACTCTGCTAGCAATCGGACTGTAGAGATCTCACAACAGCTTGATCTTGATTACTAGATTATTTAGTAGTAGATTGGATGATAATCGTAATTTAAACAGACATTTGGGTTCTTCCATGATTTAGAGATTAAGCCATACCAGCACGTTTTTTCTATAGCAGTTCACCAACAACCACGCCATTCTCAATTCGTTTAAAATTTCGGATATGCTCGTTGTTCGCTACATTGTCACGAAACCCGAGTGGTTACAGAATGTCGTTCTGGTGCGGCGCTTAAGATTCTTAGTTCGGTTCTATTCTATTTTTGGTGAAGTTGAAATTCAACACACATAAATGAACTAGTATTTAACTAGTATGAAATTGGTGCATTTTCGTTAGTCGAAGAAATGGCAGTTCATAGGGCACAGCCATGTTTAAAATACCAGTTGCAAACATGGAAAATAGTGGGAAATGAGGAGTTAGTGCAAAAATGCTATTTTGTTGGATTCTATTGTGAGTGACAAGAAGATTGCACAAACCTCATTTTGCGGAAAAAATGGTTGCCGGTTTTAAATTATTTTAAATAAATCTATTAAACTGCGAGATGGCTAATGCTCCTTGATCAAAAACATTTCAATTACCAGATTGGTTGTTGCGTAGTCCACCTTTTGCAGAATTTATTTTCAAGATAGTACTTGGACGCGGCTTATACCTCGATTCCTCTAAGGCTGACTTTTTTTTAGTATAACTACATTACACTTTCCTTAAAATTTGCTTAAAGCACTAGTGACGGAAGAAGTTGGAAGAAATTATTTGTGCATGCTAATGAAAGAGTTCCCGTATAAGTACAGCTCAGAGGAATTTTCATTGCTCTTTCTGTCACTTTTGACTCGAGTTAAGTTTGCATCGTCCTGAGGTACTTAGCGCAAGTAGAGAGAGGGGGAGAGAGAGAGAGAGTTTGATCTCAATTTATTAGTAGTAATCTAGTTTTTTCCTCCTGGGGAAAAAACCAATCGTTTTAGCTAGGTTTATGTCCATCCCCCTATGTTTATATAATTTTCCTACTAATCTCGCGCATTTTAAATAATTATTTTAACCGCTTTAAATCGGCTGGTGATTTCTTGTCGTGAATTGTTTTCCATTTGCAAAATACTGGGATAACCGGTTTTCATAGGCCTCTCGTAAAGTCATTTTTCACCAGGTAAATCATTCGCCATAACCATAAAAAGGTGATAATCATTTCATTTAGACTAAAGATGGATGCCTCAGTACCTCCGTACCAAACTCTCGGAAATTCTGGCGAGCCACTATCGATGAAATAAATTTTCTCTCCTTCCTCAGTTTGGCTAAAGCTTGTCGCTTCTTGGCGATTGCTTCCTTCTAATAGTCCAGTAGTCACTGACAGTACAGGTTCGAATTAAAAGTTTGATGGTAGGTGAGTAGCTCTTAGCGGATGATTATTTGCCAATTCCACCAAACACGCAACAAAACCTTTCTGGCCGTCAATCCTGGCTTGGAGACTGTTTGTGCCGGCTCATTGCCATTCAACCACGACCCTTTTTGTTTGACGTTGCTGTAGGTAATCCACTTTTTATCAGCGATTCGTAATTGGAAATTTGCTTCATGTGGTTTTTTTTCGTTAATATCGTGCTTCTTCGTGCATTTAGTCTCCTTCAAATGATTTCAGACTGTTTTTTGTGCAATGTTTAGCTCCTGGGCAATCAGAACAATGCTTGTATTATGGTCCCACTCGATAGAATCGATGAAACCAAAATACATATTTTTAGCTTTTCACCTTCATCGAAGAAAATTTGTAGATTACAGCGTATTTTCACTTAGCTGGTGCACCTGCTTGGCATGCCCTCAAACACTACTAATTAAGTGATCAACAATTTTCCTATTATCTTTTTTTTTAGTACAAAATATTAACTTTCCAACGCCATCTAGTGTGTTCCAAACGTACTTATAGAACGTGAGTTACAGATCACCAAAGCCATCTATTGCTAAACTAGATTGATATTGTTAGATTTTTTTTTTTTTTTTTTTTTTCAAATTTTACTTGAATTCCATTTCTCAACTTCCAGATGGAGGCAATTATCGAGAAGATGCAAGCGGAATCAACTGGTGTGGCAGTGCGTACCGTTAAAGCGTTTATGAGCAAAGTCCCGTCCGTTTTTACCGGTGCCGATTTAGTTGCATGGATTTTAAAGAACTTCGATGTGGAAGACGTGACAGAGGCATTGCATTTTGCGCATTTGCTGGCCTCACATGGCTACATTTTTCCCATTGACGATCATCAGTTGACGGTGAAAAATGATGGTACATTTTATAGGTAAGTAGATAATGCTGCGACTTTTATTTAGAGCCAATATAAACAAAAAAAAACCTGTTAACAAATACAGTTGAAGCATACCTTCAGGCGCTTTTTGTACTGCTGAGCTCAAACAGCTTTCCGTAATCACTGTACTATTTTACATACACATATACACAAATTTTTTTTTTTTTTTTTTCTTTATGCAGATTCCAAACACCCTACTTTTGGCCATCAAACTGTTGGGAGCCGGAGNTTTTTTTTTTTTTTTTGCTTTATGCAGATTCCAAACACCCTACTTTTGGCCATCAAACTGTTGGGAGCCGGAGAACACAGACTACGCTGTTTATCTATGTAAACGTACCATGCAGAATAAGACACGGCTGGAATTGGCTGATTATGAAGCGGAAAATTTGGCAAAATTACAAAAAATGTTCTCACGCAAGTGGGAATTCATATTTATGCAGGTAGAGCACTTAAAATTTACTTTTGTTTGTTGTTGGCATATAAATATACACTCCATACCTAGGCGGAGTCACAAAGCAAAGTGGCGAAAAAGCGTGATAAACTCGAACGTAAAGTTTTGGATTCACAAGAGCGCGCCTTCTGGGATGTACACCGACCCATGCCTGGCTGTGTGAATACCACAGAAATTGATATTAAGAAAGCATATCGACGTGGTGGTCATGGCTCTGGCACATCCGGTGGTGCCGTGGCCAAAAATCCAGTTGAGCAGGTGACACGCGTTATAGCGTTGCGTAAACAGAAACTCGAGAGACGCACCATAAAAGTGTCAAAGGCGGCAGAAGCGTAAGCCTCGACGGCATTATTTTCGAAATGTTTTAAAATTTTAAAAGAAAAAAAAAACATTCTTTTTTATCTGCTTGAACTCTAGTTTGGTCGCCTACTATGAGCAATACAATGAATTTGATTACTTTATAACATCGCCGGAGTTGTCAAATCCATGGCAAACGGACAGTACTGAAATGTGGGATGCCGAACGTAATTCGTAAGTAATTTTTCTTTAATATATTTTTGGTTGGTTGGAAGAGAGTGGTTGGGCATCTGGCAGCAAGCGGCCACACCTAAGCCATTGAGCAGACACATTGTCAACACTCGTGTATGCATACTAAGCGTTGGCGAAAAGTGCTTCATCCAGCCCGACAACATGACCTAGTCAGCGTAGAGATAGTCCCTTAATTTGCTAAACTATATATATTCTTCAGCTCATCGTTCCACCATCTATGGTACTGCCCAATTCCAATATGCAAAGGTCCATTGAATATTTACGAAATCTTTTTGTCGAAAAGTCCTTGCGCCAACTCTTCATATGTCGTCATCGCCTGTACTTCCGCACCACCTAGCAGGACGGTAACGATGAGGGACTTGTAGTATTTGGTTTTGGATCGACGAGAGGGAACATCAATAAGTAAATGATTGCCTACTCTGTCCAAGCAACGTGTTCAAAAGAGTAATTTTGCGTTGAACATCATAGATGACATTATTATTGGGAAATGCTGTCTCTAGATAGACAATATCATCTTTCTATCTAAAGTTGTGATTCTCAAAAGTGTCGTAGGGATGCAAGAACGAATATACTGACCGTACTTCCCATTTTCTTTGTTCACCACCAGACCTATTCACCTAGCTTCCCCACACAGCTAGCTGTGTCTGTTAAGCTGTGCCGCAGAGTTATATTATTTGCTCCAGCATTAAATGAAAGAAGTCTCAGGATAACTTTGTCATCTTGTACGAAACCTTTTTTTAGCACCAAACGGCTTGAAGAGGTCTGCCCTGATCCTGACGGAGCTCGGCGTCAAACTTCATAGCTCTATACATTTTTTCGGGAATACCAAGTTCAGACGAAGAGTAACCCTATTCCTTGCTATGCCACAAAATGAATACCATTTCTACTGTTAGCCATCTACTCAAGCTCTCTACAAATGCATATTGATTCCCTCTTTAACTCTTTACAGTACAGTTTGTCTTGCGATCGATCGCAATGTTGCAAGATAAGCAATCACCTTTCGCTCTCCTGAAGCACGGCTCTCAGAAGCACTACTTCTGCTGAAGCCGTATTTTAATTTAAAGTAATACCAAATATCTTGGAAGTGTAAGAATCATTGAGCTAATATTATTTTTACATTTTGTGGTAAGACTTTTTCGGTTGTTGTTTAAAGTTGGTTGTGAAAGGGGAATGTTATTAACTCACCACAATTCAACTCTCAGTTGTAGTAATTTTACTCTTGGTACCAATAGTAACTGAAGCAATATCTAATCGCGTGAAATTATGGTCCAAACTTATGTAAAACGGTATTTTTAATTTATGTATTGGGCTGCTCCAAAAGAAACTGGCGATTTTTCATACGAACGGCGTTGACAATTTTTTTGAACAGCTCGGTACTATTTAATTTTATTTTTTCTGTTGACATTTATAAGCTGTGACTTTTAGCTTGCTTTGGAAAAAAGTACACGCAATTTCGTTTATACAATATTTGTTTGTTTGGCGTCAATTTTCATAATTTAATGGAGCCCACAAAAGAACATTCTGGTCACATTTTACTTTACTGTAACCTTAAAGAAAATATCAGCGCAGGTTGCTAAAAAGTTACTTAATTCTTATTATGATGAGGCCTTAAAAGGAACACAGTGTCGAATTTAGTTTTCAAATTCCGTTCGCGAAATTTTTAACTCAAAGATAAGACACGTTCAGGTCGGCCAAGTGAAGTTGATGATGATGAAATCAAGGCTTTAATCCAATAAACTAAAATCAACTGTTTATAAAAATATATGAAGTCATGGACTAGTAAAAAAAACTTGATATTTGGGTACCCCATGAATTGAAAGCAATTCATTTAACAAGCCGCTCCAACGCTTGTGTTATGCATCTTAAACACAATGATTATGATTTGAAGCAAATCATAAATTGAAATAAAAAACGGATTGTTTACAATAAAATCAATCCCAAACGAACATGGTCCCAGCATGATGAAACGCCACAAACCCCTTCAAAGGCTGAGATTCACCAAAAGAAGATTATGCTGTCAGTTTGGTGCGACTGGAAGGGTGTGGTATATTTTAAGCTGATTCCAAGGAACCAAACGATTAATTCGGATGTCTACTGTCAACGACTTCAATTTGTCCACTCGCTCACAGTAGACATACATCCATCAACGAGAATTGGCCATAATTGGTCAACCGCACACAACTTTGATCGATCACCAAAAACTGAGAGAGCTTGGCTGGGAACTGTTGATGCAATCACCATATAACCTGCTTTGCACCGTCAGACTAACATTTGATTCGATCTTTTGAAGAGCTCATTGAAAGGAAAAACTCTCGAAAATGACGAGGCTATAAAATCGCACTTGGTTCAGTTTTTTGCGGATAAAGGCCAGAAGAGCTATGAGCGTGAAATAATGATGTTGCCGAAAAGATGGCGAAAGATCATCCAACAAAATGGAAATTAATTGCTTAAAGTTCATTTTAAAATTTAATAAAATTCATAACTTTTATATTAAGAAATCGCCCGTTTTTTTTTTTTTTTTTTTTTTTTTTTTTGGTGTGACACAATACTATAAAATAGTAATTTTATATACTATTTTTAACAATTTAATTAAACATTTTATACAATGTATATATGTATATTTGCTTGAATGTAAACTCCTCTCGTTCACAGTAAGGAAGTACCCTTGCGTCATGTCAAACGTTGGGGTTTCAGTTTACGCGAACTACTCAATGATCCAGTTGGTCGCGAACAATTCGCGAAATTTCTCGAAAAGGAATACAGCGGCGAGAACTTAAAGTATGTAAACGTTAAAAGACAATACATTCATGCTTATCTAAAAAATAATTTTTAACTATCTCTCCATCTCTCCAAATCAAAGATTTTGGGAGTCTGTGCAACAAATGAAGACACTACCACAATCGGAAATCAAAGAAGCAATACAAAAAATCTGGCAAGAATTTCTCGCACCCGATGCACCATGTCCTGTGAATGTTGACTCCAAATCGGTGGAGTTGGCGCGCGAAGCGGTGAGTGCGGTTAACGGTCCGAATCGTTGGTGTTTCGATGTTGCCGCCGCACATGTCTATCATCTGATGAAGAGCGATTCATATTCACGTTATCTACGCTCGGATATGTATAAAGATTATTTGAATTGTTCTCGCAAGAAAATCAAATCCATACCAAATCTATTTGGTGTGAAGCGTTAGGTTATGGGTTTGTAGCGTATTTAGTATGTACGTAGTATATACATATGTAGGTTAATAGTGAAGGATTTGAATAGTAAGTGTGAGATTTAGCTATAACGGTATATACAAATGTGTTTAACTACTGTATGGATATAAGTATTTATGTAAGTTAAAAATCGTATGCCGTCACGCAGCTTGTTATATTTTTTTAAGGAAGCCATTTGTAAGCTTTAGTATTGTTGTTGTCATGAAAAGAGGAATTGAAATATTTGTTAAAGTTAAAATTCAGTTGCATTTTTTATAACACCCCGTTACATACTACTTTACATAAATACATGCAAACTATATATATCATATACATATATATTTTCCATGGCGCAATACATATAAAGTGCGAAAAAAAAACTTCTTTATTGCAATAGTTTAAAAAAAGAGAAAATATTTTTCTTAATGTTAGCCAATAATTTATTCATATTTTTGCAATAGAACTTTACACGATTTTTGCTATTTATTTTGCTTTGAAGAAAAGTGAATAAAAAAATATAGGCATAATTGTTAAGAAAATGAAGAAGAAGAACAAGCATACAAGTTTTATAGTAATTAGGAAAATTGTGAAAAAATTGTAGAAAATATATAAATAAAAGATGCATACGTGCGTATATAATATACAAATATTAGGCTATTCTATGTATTATAACGGACAGTACAGTTTGAGCAGAAAAATTGTTGTAATGCATAGTCAAAAATTTAAAATATCGGTACATATGCAAAACCACTAAGTACATACGTATATATGTTTGTATATCTAAGTATGTAGATATACACTAAAATAGTATATATATATATATATATATATATATATATGTGAATAGCATATTCGTGTACATGTTAATTATATGTAATTAAAACCAAAACTCAAACACACTTGAAAAAGCGAGTGTTCAATATTTTTGAACATTTTCAAATAATAAACTGCCAATGCTTATTTCATTTCATTAAATGTCTGTATGTAAAAAAGGCATAATGAAGCACACACACTCTCTCTCTCTCTCTCTCTCAGTTGTTGCCTATATTTCAAACATATTAAAATGAATTAAAAGTTTATTTTACTATTGAATTGCATTACCACTATTTTGTTTTTGAAACAAAAATAATTTAAACGCACGAAATTCTTAATGCAACCGCCATTCACTAGGTGCGCCTAAAAGTAGGTAACACAAAATCATTCCACTTTTTTGTACTCATATAAACTTTTTTGTTTTTAAGTTGGGATTTCACTTTCATTGATATCTGTGCTAAGACGAATTACTACTAGTGGGCGCAATGGCGAAAATTGCGAATATTGACGCTTCGGAATGTCAAATATGATGATTTGAAGAAGAAGAAAAATAGCATGAAAATGAATACAATAACTTTGAATTGGCAATAATCAGTTGTGTGAATACTTTTATGTTGCTAAAATTCTAAATTCAAGTTAAATGACTAGCGTGTTGTTCACATTTCATTCTTTGTTTTGCCTGACATTCTAACGAAAAGTCAAAAAAAAAAAAATTTGCAAGGAGAGAGCGCAGTAGCGAGTATGAAAAACAGCTGATGGATGGCATATATGACAACAAAACAAAAATTATTTGATGCCAATAATAAAGGTTGATGAACATGTGGTTTTCAATGAGACAATATTTCTTTCTGAGACAGCTGTTAGTCGATTTATACTCAGCTTGGCGCGCCATTTCATTGATCGAATTGATCCAGCGCGTAGTTGAATCACGTCTATATGTCTTCAAAAACTGCCTTTGTTTCGTTTTCATAACATTAAAATCAATTAGAAATGCTATAGATCCATGAAGAATTACTTTTTCGGTGCTGAATTGGAGAATGTTGATGTGGACAAGCTTTGGTTCCAACAAGACGACACTGCATGCCATACAACCAACGAAGCCAACAATTTATCGAAGGGAACTGATTCATCGTCCGCATAACATAGACTACATTGAGCAATAGGAAGTTAGTAATTTTGAAGGCAAAGATTAAAGTCAACTTACTACGCATCAACGCCACCCAGAGCAAACCTTTTTGAGTCGATTAAGAAGATTTAAGGAGAATCGGGCGAAAATTGTTTCAAGTAAAAAAATTATAGAACGGTTAGATTTCATACTTGGATCATAGAAAGTTCTTTGGCTCTAATACCATATTAATGGGTTTTCTTTGCGAGAATTGGGCCAGAAAAGTTGTACGCTTAAAACAATTTTTTTTAACCTTTAAAAAACTTCTCCCAACTATGAATATGTGAGAGCAATCTTGTGACACCCACCTCTGTGCAACAAATACGAGGAAGTTCGGCGTCGAATTTGGTTTTCAAATCGACTTGCACGCCTGCTTTCTGAGAGAACTCAACAGAAATGAACAATATTTTCTCATCTACGAAAAAGCGGGAGAGTAAGCCACTCTCATAAAGTAGCTAAGCCTTTAACAACTTTTATTATAAAGGTTTCAAGAGAACTGTGGCATAGCATTTGAAGCTCCGGTAGGGGTGTTGCTCAAAAATTTTTCAAGAAAATATGCGTCGACTTACAGTAGATTTCAAGATTGAAACAAACTATTGTAGGACCCATAATGACGATCTAGCGTCTGAAGCCAAGAATGTACTGAATTTATGTTGGGAACATCTCTCTGGAACAACAATGCTACAATTTTCACTACAAAAAACGATATAAAATTGTTGATTTAAAACAACTATGTAATATAAAAAAAATTCTAGGACGCCTTTGGAGAACGGTATTTCGAATGTACTGCCAAAATTTCGTAAGAATCGGTGAAGATTTCTTCGAGTTATGTCTTCGGCCAGTTTAAAAAAAAAGTGATTTCGAGCAAAACGCGCTCAAAGTTGTAGGTCGCTCGGGGCATACCTGTGAGGCACTGCCGTCGAATGAAAAATTTGGGCATTTAGACATTTTTGCCGGCATCCATCTTTTGGTATGTTATTTCTCAGATCCTAAAGCACCTTTTAAGACAAAAAAAAATTTTCGATTATTTCAAAATTCTAGACCAGCTTCCCCCTTAAGCACTCCGTCGTTCTTACATAGATTGGATATAAAAAAGTGGGGTTACGTTAGTTTCGGTAACGTAAAAAAAATTATGTTCTAACGGAAATTTTTTTGTTGAAAACTGTTAAATATATTCAAATACGGGATTCCTACTTGGCGTAGGTATCTTTATTTGATTTTCCATGTTTTTTTTAATATTAGTTAAAAATTTTAATGTTTACCTCAGAAATACTTAATTAATGAAATCCATTCAATATTAAGTAAGCGGTTCCTAGGTAAAAATGGTGATATAAAGGTACCAATAAGAAGAGTGCCACTGTCATAAATATATTTTTCGAACCCAACGCACGAGTGCTGAGCGTTTAATTGAAGCATGTAATTCGTGCTGAAATATATAAATACCAAGCTGAACCCTTAATTATAAAATGCCTGCTCTCAAGTTGCTTATTTAGAAAGAAAAGAAATCATTTTAATTTTGAAATTCATATTTATCTGAAGTAGAGCTAAGCTAGACCTAATATGTTTAATCAAGGGACTTCTCAATTAGGCATGAAAAAAATCTTCAATTCTTCCTAAAAGTAACAAAAATTAAACAGAAATGTTCCACATTGACGGACACAGACTAAATTTTCCTCGAATTTTTAGAATGAATGAACAACAGCTATTCACCGCAGTTTTAGAAGAATCTTCAAATCCACAAATTGCTTCATAATAAAAACTAATATGATTCCACATAGCCACCGTTCACTGATTAATTTCTTATTTTATAAGTATAATAAGTGAAATATATTTAATATAGTATCTCCACTAAATAAACTCAAAAATAGAAAATTGTGTATGTTCGTATGTTAGTACATATGTATGTACATAAGCCTGAAAAAAATGAAATATAAAAGTAAATATAACTGTTTTAGTTGATAAAGCAAAACTACTGTAAATGCTTAAGCACTAAATAAACAAACCAAAAAATTGTTTTATAATTAAGTGAAAATAAAAAAATGATAAATAGGAAAAAATGAGTAAAAAAATGGTCAGTAAATAAATTTGGATAAATAGTAATAAAATATATTGGATAAAAGAATAAACGTATGCAATAAATAGTTAAATTCGTGTTTAATTCTTCCACTGAATGTTTCATTGCATAGCCGAATGAAATTATGCGCCATAGACGTGAGCGTGTGGGAGTCCATGCGGTCTGCTATAAAAGGAGAGCGCATATTTTGACATATTTACTTTTTAGATGAACTAGTTTAATATAAAAATTTATTGCACTAAAAAGCCGATCAAAGCATTGTTTTTTGGGAGTTTATACTTATAAGTTACTTCCTTACTATCAAACAATAGATAATTTTTGTATTCTTAATTGAAGTTAAATGCGGTAATGGCGCCGGAAACTAGTAGCAAAAACCTAAGTAAAATAAAAAATATAAACTTAAATGAAATAAGTTAAAATAAAAAACTTAGCTAAAACTAACTAAAAACTAAAAAAAACATATAATTAACAAAAAGTAAAAAATAAAAGCAAATATATCCAAGTAAGAGAAAAAATTTAAGTAAAATGATATAAAATAAACCATAAAGTAAAGTAAAATAGAGAGAAATGAAGAAAAATAACAAAAATATTAAAATAACTAAATTATAAAAATTTAAAATAATATTGAATCAAATAAAAAATAGCACGGATCAAAATATGGTAAGAATAATAAAACAAAATTAAAAAAAATATATATAAAAGATACAAAACAAATAAAAAATTAAGTAAAATGATATAAAATATACCATAAAGTGAAGTAAAATAGAGCGAAATGAATTTTTATAAATAAAAATAACAGATACATAAAATAAAATTAAAAAAAAAAATAATAAATATTAAAAATAATAATAGATCAAATAAAAAATATCACGGAACAAAATATTGTAAAAATAATAAAGCCAATTTAAAAAAAAAATACTAAACAGAGACTAAATTAAAATGAAATAACCAAAAAAAAATATTTTAATTTAATTAAATGAAATAAAAAAATAAAAATTGAAATAAAAATTAAAATAAATACAAAGTAAATAAGAATTATTAAATTATAAATAAAATGAAGCAAAAGATAGTAAAATTAAAATAAAATTAAAATAAATTAAAAGATATTTTGAAGCATAAAATAAAAAAAAATATTATTCTACAACTCTGTCATACCCTTCAAAGTACTATCCTTGGGCAGCTATACAACGAATTCAGCGCGTTTTCCATGATTCGTGACATTTCTGGAACGTTGCGACTGAGATGTCCACGAGTACTCTCGTTATGGCCGCCTGGATGTCGAATAAGGCAGTTGTTGCAACACGGCGATCCCTTTAGAGGTCAAATACTGGGACACGCTGAGGGCGTTGTGGCACGGCGCGTTGTCGTGTTCCGAGCTATGTCTGGGCGCATCTGTTGACTCGTTTTCACAATCTTTCGAGTACTTGGCGGTAGTAGACTTGATTTACGGTTTGCCCCGGTGGAAGAAATCCTTTGTGGACGATTCCACGGCTATCGAAAAGGGCAATAATCATTCGTTTTTCCATTTTCATCACAAGCAACAAGACACAGCAGGCAAACTAAACAAGCTAGAGCGATGGCAAATATATCATTGGGGAAGGGGAAGAAAGGGAATGGGTGGGGAAGGTGAAGGAAATTTCAGTCTCATTACTTAACTGTCACACCCCGTACTTGCTGTGTGGCCAGAGGTCACACCTCTACTGCTACTACCAAACCTACGCTGCAGCGGAAGTGCGATACAGTTCATACAGACTCGGACCTTAAAAGCGTAAATACAAGCTCTCGCTCGACAGTAAAGAAGAAACCTAAGGTCAAACCTCAGTAAGGAGAGTTTGAGGGCCAAAGATATTTATAAAGCGGCAGTAGGGGTGCATGAGACAATAAGCTGCAAGTCCAATCGGACTGCAGAAAGGATGACATGGGCTAAGAATATTTTGGGGCAATAACAATAAAAATGTCTACCAACTCTGCCAACGCACAGAGGACCATAAATCTTACGCAAAACCCTTCTCTAGAAAACTTCCAATGCCACCTCATCAGATATCGCCATCGTCCATGCATCCGCACTATATAGCAGAGGGAGAATGATGAGAGACTTGTAGAGTTTGGCCTTTGTTCGTCGGGAGGAGAGAATGCGATGACGATTTGTTTGTTGACAGAAGATTTTTCGTCTTGTCCGCGCTTAGTACCAGACTTCCACGCTTCACTTCCTCATCCAGTCTGGAGAAACTCACGACAAGGTTGTTGACACCAATAATGTCAATATCATCAGCGTACGCCAATAGCTGTACACTCTTATAGAAGATTATACTTTTCCTATTTAGCTCTGCAGCTCGTATTATTTTTTCCAGCTTTAAGTTAAAGGAATCACAGGATGAGTAATCTGTAATCGAACGATTAGCATAGGGCTTTCCTCAGCATGATAGAGCTTTTGGTCTTGCTTAACGTCAGTTTAAGCAACCGCATTAGTTTTGCGGAGGTACCAAATTTAGACATAGCGGCTTCTTGTGCACTGGACAGGGTACAATTAGGAAGATCCAATAGTGAGGCATGCTTGCATATCCCAAAAATCCCGTGGACGCAAATCAGAGATATCTTGAAAAATTTCGCCCTAATGCGAATTGTGGCGAGTAATGTATACGGGTTGAATGCCTCGACTCTTCACCACAACGAATGGGAGACCAAGTGTACGTTGTTTCACATGGCTTTCATAGATACCAACTCATTTCCGTGCTTGTCCCATCAATGCCTCTTATTTGACGGCGGTGATCTCAACCTTTAGTTTTACTAAGGCCTAAAACAGCTTAACAGTGACACTCTCCCACTTAAGGGATAGAGCATTCTAGGTGTACGCACTGAAATCATAATTCTTAATACGATTGAAATGGTCGTCCTCAAATGTGGAGTCTCTCATCCGAGGCGTTGTTACCTTTTTCATTGGATATGGTTTCACGTGGAGGATCCCAAACACAATGCACAATCCCATCAGGCTACAGCTTGAGTACAGACGCTGCAATTAGACTACACCAAACCCTTGAAACGAATATGTCGGAATTGTTCAGCATAAGTTTCCCCTTTTCTTCGTTAAAATGCTATATCTATTTTATTCTAGAGTTATGATGCTTTCCCCTTAACTTCACTACTCGAGCTAACGTTCGACCAAGGCGCAATTACGTCTTCCTTAATAAGGACTGCATAGCATTTGGATGTGATCACGATTCACTTGCAAAAGTATGACATATTGACAAAAACAAATAAGTGTGTTTGACTGCTTGTAAAATTGGTCATAGAAGTGAGATCTCAAATAGATATGTATGAATTTGCATCCACAAACTGGTTGTGATCATAAAGCCAAAAGACAAATCAACTAGGTTTTGTTATGAATTCGTTGTTTGCAGCGAATATTTCCGCTCTCATTTTAAACTCATTATAATTTCCACAAATTTGTATTTAAATGTATCTAACATCTCTTGCAGTTTTATTTATATTTTTTTTTTTTAATTTTTTTCATTTTTTTTTTTTTGCAATTTCTACAAATTCTTTTCGAATTCCATTTTCATAAACTTATTCGTATAAAAAGCGAAGAGAAGAGACAAATCCTCTGCATTAGTTAATAAACGTCAAAGCGGTGAGAACGCCACACACGAACTGCGTGCGTTTCTTAGAACATTTGTGTGAGCCAACTAGTTTCGAAAGAATTTTACAAAAATAAAAAAAACCAACATTGTTAAGGGAAAGTGAAATCATGAAAATTTCATTGCTCACACTGTCAATCTGTGGATTACTAACCTACGGTTTTGCAGCGCCACTTGACGACTCGGCCAATGCCCGGATATTAAAATATGATTTCAAAAATACTGGAATTGATGGCTACGATTTTAGGTAAGTTGGACTGTGAGCTTATGAAAAAGTGAACATACAGTGTTTCACAATAGTATTGTGCATATTGCCTTGTATTGGACACTCTCGTTTCGTGCAACTAACTAATCTCATTGTGTTAAAGTAAAACGCATTTTAAATCTGACAAGCAATATTTGTCGTAAAGACTCTTCCGTAAATCGTCATGGATGTATAAAGTTATTTTGATTTGAAAAGTGAAAATTCCAAAGAAAAATTTTGTGTCTTGTATTTTCTCTACTATAAAAGTAGGCGGAGCCTGCTGCTAAAAACACAAGTGATTTCCAGTGAGGCAATACTTTTCTCGGAATTGGTATTTTTGGCAACTGTTATATTATTCATACTCAGTTTCGCAAGTATTTTATAATGAACAAACTAACTCCAGATCAACATTTGCAAATCGTGCAAATTTATTACCAAAATAATAGTTCGTTACACGCGACACATCGTTTTTGCGTCCAATATTCAGTCGTTCACTCATGAAAATAAAGTACAATCATCTTCAGAGACAGCGTTCAGTGCCCATCGAAAGTGCTAATGTGGAATGCGAATGTGACGTTTTCAACAAATTAATGGACCGAACGACCGATAGAATTTTTATGATGATAAATACTTTCCGTGAGATTGAAAGTTCCTGGCGCAGGGCATCCGTAATTAAAAAAAATTAATCTCATATAATTTTGAATGCCGGTCGCATTAGAACGATGCATTTTTTTGTATTATTTATTGAATTTAAATGCCGTAATGGCGACGGAAACTAGTAGCAAAGAAGTAAGCAAAATAAAGAATATAAAATTAAATAAAAGAAGTTAAAATAAAGTAAAATAAAAAAATTAAACTAAAACTTACTATAAATTAAAAGAAATATAAAATTAAAAAAAGTATAAAATAAAAACAAATATATACAAGTAATATAAAAAAATTAAAGTAAAATGATATAAAATAAACCATAAAGTAAATAAAACAGAATGAAATGAATTATTATAAATAATAGTAATAAATATATAAAAAAATAATATAACTAAATTAATGAAAATTAAAAATAATATTAAATTAAATAAAAAATAACACAGAAGAAAATATGGTAAAAATTCTGAGACTAAACTAAATTAAAATTAAAAAATCCAAAACAAATGTAAATTTAAGTAAAATGATATAAAATAAACCATAAAGTAAAGTAAAATAGAGCGAAATGAATTTTTATAAATGAAAATATCAGATACATAAAATAAAATTTAAAAAAAAATAATGAATATTAAAAATAATAATAAATTAAATAAAAAATATCACGGAACCAAATATTGTAAAAATAATAAAACCAATTTAAAAAAAATACAAAAAGAACTAAATTAAAATGAAATAAATACCACCAAAATAACAAAAATAAAAATTAGTTAAATTTTATTAAATGAGATAAAAAAATATAAAAAAGAATAAAAATTCAAAGTATAATGGAATGAAATGATTTACTATAAATAAAAGTAACAAATATGTAAAATAAAATTAAGAGAAATAAAATAATGAAAATTAAAAATAATAATAAATTGAATAAAAAATATCACGGAACAAAATATGGTAAAAATTATAAAACTAATTCGAAATCGAACTGTCATTCCAAAAGATATTTGGGCTCCTGAGAGCTAATAACTTCGTGAAGTAACATTAGGCAATTTAACTTCAGTAGAGCTTCGAGTTTTCTGGAAAATAATTCTGATGCCAAAGTATTTATGTGCTCACTACGATTTACACCATTTACGTATCTGGCGATGTTATTGTAGAGGACATTGAGTTTACTACAACACAAACGGTCAAAGCTGACAAACAGCTCGTAACCATACAGTGAGGTCGGTAACAAGAAAGTTTTTGCTAATAGCAAACGAATTTTTAATGGTGTGAAATGCTTAATAGTTCGTATAGCACGAAGCATGACATAAACTTTGCCTATTGCGCTATAAATGTGGTTATTCCAAGAAAAAGCTCCATTGAAGATTATTCCTAAATTTCTGGCGGTATCCACCTATTTAATAACAGAGTCATTCAGTTTCATTTCATTGTAGCCTACCAGTTTGAAGGGTTTTTTAGTAAATGACAATGCACTGCGATTTACTGCGATTTAGAAGTAAACCATTATCGCTGGCCCACATGCTAACGTGATCTAATTCGGTATTGAGGTCATTTTTGCAATCATATAATTGAACATTATCTGCGTATAAATGAATGTCACATTATTTTAATACAATTTGAAGATCGTTAAGATATCAAAGGAATTGCGGCCCTCATCGAACATGGACACGATTTAACGCCGCTAGACTAGTTTTGGTGTGGTTATATGAAGATGCTTGTATATGCGAAAAAGAGAATAGTCAGAGCGTTTTTTACTGTTTGAAAATTGGAACTCTCGTGGGTAATTTATTCAAGTCAGCTCCTGAGGTTGCTTGCCAGAACACTGTTTTTAGATTAAATGGGAAACTCTTCTCTATATAATATAGCTAATTTCTTAGCTAAGATATCAAACAATATTCGTTTTATTTCTTCTTAAAAACCACATGTCAAAAAAAATCTTTTATGTACTTCCCGTGAGTCGTATTTAAAAAAAATATGTACTTAATGAAGAACGTCTTACTTTTCTCTTTTTGAGAGAAAATTTTGGAGTTTTTATCAAAAAATAATTTTTCGTAAATTATAAAATGTTTACATTTTTATTTATTTTCCTAAATATAATATTTATCTGTCCTACCTTCCATCCCCAGTATTTTTAAAAGTTTTGGAATTTAAAAAAAATAATAATTTTTCGTAAATTATAAAATGTTTATATATTTATAGATTTTGGTAAATATAATATTTACCTTTCATCCACAGTATTTTGAAATAATTTAAAAATTAAAAAAAAAAAATAATTTTTAATAAATCATAATATGAATTACAAAGTGTAAATTGCTATTTACAATTAAGCTATGCAAAATTTTTTTTTTCATATTTCCGCATATTGAAGAATTGTTTTCAACGAAATTAAAGATATTTTAAAAAAAGTTTTTTAGTCGCTGGATTAGTTACTTAGTCTTTATACTTTTCACAGGCGTTAACTGCTCTTTCGACGGATGCAAAAGAATACGACTGAAGTTGTTAGTGTTATATATAAAGTATAGCCATTGTATTACCGCTATACGCAGAGTAGAAATTCGGAAGCAAATAATAATGCAGCTCCGTTATTTTTAATATTTTGGAATACTAGTTTCCGCACCAAAGCAAAGAACTGCAACTTTTCGCTTATTAAGAATATATTATTATATTTTGTTACTTTTCTATACTTTTCATTTCTTTGTTTGTTTTGTTTTAAAATTTCTTAAAAACTCTCTATGAACTCCTACAAAACTAAGTGTTTCTGTATATCGCTTTTCAAGTTCTCTGCATAATATTATATTTTCAGATTTTTTTCACATTATAAATAGTGAAAAGAAGAGAAAATTTCAAATAGTAGTCAGTTAACCAATGTTAGAATAAAAAGGCGGAACGCTTTGCAGAAAAATAATAAAATATTAATAATGAAGTAGTAATGAAGACTCTTGTGTGCAACGCGAACTCGACGCGAAAGTTTTACGCTACAATTTTTATAAAGTGGACTTGGTGAATACGATTTTAGGTGAACTAGCAAGTGGCATTAAATTTTTTTTTTTAAATAATTGCTTATGGTGAAGTCGGTGAAAACGTAATTTGTCAAAATTGTTATAATGGAAAAAAAAGAATATAAAAAATCAAATACAATATAATTGAAAAATGTATAAATATATGTACATTTATTTACCGCTAAAATATTTTGTGCAACAATATGAGCTGATGAGATCATAATCAAATGAGAATCTGCAAATCGAAAAACCGTTAGTTAATGTTAGCGCTTTTTATGCAATCTAAATGAGTTAATTTATGTTATACAAAACTTGTTTCAAATTTCTGCCATAAAAAGTTCAACTCTTGATTGCGACGACTTTATTTTACAAAGTTCAAATTTTTTCAAATTTGCAAGTATTTGAACCGAAAATTTTAATGATTTCGTATTGTTTACGGTTTCCAAATACTAACTTGCGCGCATTACTCAAATGTACAACCAAAATGTTGAGTAGCTAATTTCGAGTGATTTTTATATTGTAGAGATATTCTGAATAAAAAAAAAAACTTTAAAGCTTCCTTGACACTTCATTGCGTCTGCAACGGATGTATCAGAAACCTTCGAAATTAGTTTCAGAGCAAAAAAAAAATCTTTCCGATATGGCATTTCTATCATTTGGGGCGTGAGAGGAAATATGAAATTATAGCCATGATGTTTACTTTTGTTCTTGTAAACAGTACCTGCAATCAGTTATTGGTCTCAGCTCTAATGGGCCCGAAGCAGCTGCGTAAAAGCACACTACTACCTTGAGAGAGATACCAAGTTCTGACAAATGTCGTGTTGTGCATGAACTTGGTGAGAAGTCATTTTTTTAATTGGAAGATGGCAGATGATGAAATAGCAGTGTAGATGGTACCCTCTTAATGATGGCAAATGCCTGTCGAATGTTACAAATAAATCTACCTACAGAAGAACCTACCAGATGCGAAAATGTAGCCAAAGTAGTCTTAAGTCAGTGTCTCCTTTATAACCCGAAACAAGCATTTTTTATTACCAATTTTTTTGAAAAAGTAGAAAATCATTGCGGTAAACGAAATCTTCAGACAAAAACCAATTTTTACTGTAAAAAAATCGAAATTTTCCAATGTTGTGATGAGTTTTTGAATGCGGTTGCAGTCTGAACTCGTGAAAGGGTTCCGATCACATTTTTATTAAAAGTTTATTTTTATATGAACTAGGATATTATGAAGAAAAATTTTTTCGAAGTTTGAAATAAAATTCACTTTTAATAACGCGCTTCAAAACCTGCTCGATCTTTCGAACCTACTCGACCCTCGGCCACTAAAACTGCTCTAACTTCTAAAGTATTATATGTCGTATCGGCCATTGAAATGTTGAAGACATGTGCGATTGAAAAATGAATTTTCCGAAGCCCCTAAAGCAGACTACAGCCTTTAAGAATTGAGAAATATCCTGTTTTAACGTACCGAAACTAAATTCTGAAAACACCTTATCATTCACGTTCATGGTGCAGAAGCATGAACAATGTCGACATCCGAAGAGTTTACCTTGGGAGTCTTCGAGACAAATGTTTTGTGAAAGATTTATGCTCCCTTGCGCATTGGCCCGGCGAATACCGCAGTTAAAGGAAAGATAAACTGTACGAGGTATACTGTAGCATTGATATAGTTCAGTAACTGGAGAGACAGCGGCTGTGCTGGCTAAGTCATGTCGAGCGAATTAGTGAAAGCACTCCACCTTTGAAAGTATTCGATGCAGTATCCGCGGATAAAAAAAAATAAAAAGAAGGATCACGTGGAGAGTGACTTGATGTCTCTAATTGGCAGCAAATGCCGAAGAGCACAAATGTATTACTGGGCGGCACCTATGCCCATAAAGAAGAAGAAGAAAAGTTAATGTATTGTAAAAAAAATAAATAAGTTATATTTCATCCATTTTTAAGCGGCGATCGCAATAGGCGAGCCAGAGATCGAGTCCTAGTTCAACCAAAAATCAAAACTCATAGGAAATCTTTTTTTCTAAATGCGGTCACCACTCGACAGTGAATGTAAGCTCCCAAGTATATTTTTGACAGGAAATATGCGCTCCTCATAAACAACAAAGAGATATGGAATATAATGTGGTGGTAGGAAAAACATCAAGAAGCCCAGCACAAATTAGAGATAGAGCTTAAGCGCTTCAGCGGCTACAGAGCTGACTTCTGTTAAAAATGTTTACAAAATTTTCTTTCAATAAGTTAAATTAAGCGCCCTCCGCTTGATATATGTACATCTCTCTATCCTACCTATGAACATTAGTATCGTATAAATTACATCTTTAGTGAGAAATTATATAAAAAAATATATTAGTTATTTAAAATTATATGGAACAATAAACAAATTGAAATTTCTTTCATTTTTCATTTCACTTCAGCTTCGAAACCAGTGACGGCATCGAACGCAAGGAAAGTGCAGAACTCAAGGATATTGGCACCGACACAAAAGCGCTCACAGTTGATGGCTTTTCCACTTGGATAGCACCGGATGGTGTGAAATACACTGTAAATTATATAGCTAATGAGAAGGGTTACCAACCGTGGGGCGCTCATTTGCCAAATCATGAAAGACCGACTTAAAAAAGTGCATTACCTACACTCACAGGGTTAATGTGTCATTCTGAATATTAAGCAAAAAATATTGTACATACATAAATATTAATTTTAATAAATTTATTTGCAATTATTTTCATTGCTACATCTTAACAATACTACTTTTGCCAATTTGTTTTTTAATGTAAATTTACTTTCTATTCATAAAATGTCAAAAACAGCGATCGTCTCTATAGCTACAAAGGTTGTTGGAAAAATAGGGGCATCCATATGTTCAGAAATACAAAAAAAGAACCATAATAGTTAAGGTGAACTTAAAAAAAAATATTTTTTATATAATATGTGAAAAAAATAATAAAATAAATTATTAAAAAATTTGTTATGAGCTTTATTATAGAATTATATCCATTTATTAATATGTTAGGGAAATATTTGCTTTGCCGTTTTCCCCTTTCAGTTTTAGTAAGTCCTTTTTAGCACAGTTAACAGTAATAGAAAACACTATATTATATGTATTTATAAAAACGTGCCATAAAATTTATAGCTCTATTCACTTCACACTCGTTTTACTACATTTTTTCACATTTTTACCAAACTTGTGATTTTGCATAGTAAGATCAAAGCATTCGGGACTTTGTATATGCATTTAATAAATAGTCACAAATTATGTGTTGAGATTAAATATTATTATCATACATACGAGTATGTATGCATATGCTTATGCATAATCAAACACGCTTAGAATATAATGGCAAACAAGTTACCAGTGGAGTGATTTCTTCTCAAAACGATTTTATAATTTTATTGGGTCATTTAATGTGAAACGTAATTTTTTAATTATGTATCTACGAAATGCACTATATAAAGAGCCAAACGAAAAAATTTACTGGTTCAGCTGGGATGAACAATAATTAAGGAAGTCATTATTCAAATAAATTTTATATGGCGTGAACGGACTGCTAAAGGTCGCCTCTTTTGTTAATATAAAATATAGTTATTATGATGAATTTACTGCGTTGTTTGTTTTCAAACAATTAAAAATTAAAATAACGCAAAAATTTGCTAATGCTCATTAAAACCGGATCCTGCCAAAACGTGCGCCAGCTGGAGCAAATCATTTTTGTCAAAAATTGTCATAATAAAAAGCAGTTTGTTATGACTTCTTTGCTGTAGAAAATTGTTTTGTTTTTTATTATTATCGTTTAGAAAATCAGCTGCATAGACTTACGTTATATTTGAGACTGATTTGGGATAATATCAAAAGCCTAAAACCTCTACTAAAACCATTCAACCCTTTTTAACTAACGACAAAAAGGTGAGCTCGAGAAGTGGGAAACGTAACCTGATTCAGCGATTTCAACGAATAATCCCGTTAACCATTTGTGTAATTTTGAAAATTCTATTTTCATTTGAAATTAGTCCCACAAAATGTTGGCGGAGAATATTTGAATCAGTGGAAAGGTGTATGATTCGTTAAAGTTTGATCCCACATAAAATTAAAAAATAAAAAACAAAAAACAAATACGAAAATTCCTACCGTAACGTGTTACAAAAAAGGATTGAAAGAAATGAAGAATGCCCTAATTATTAGGGTCACACAAAAATTAAAAAAAAAAAACCCGAAAAATTCAAAAGTTGTGCTGGCTTTTCTTAACTTGAAAGCTTGTCTGACCAACAAAGAGCCTTAAACACTCTCAAAGCGGTAACCGCTATATCAACTGACAAAAGCACAAGCAAGTTTAAATATATATACTAAATTCGAGATTTTTTCCACACCTCATAACGAGATTTTCAGACGAAATATTGTTTGGCGCAAAGATTTTCACATAAATAAAAAATTTACTTTCATTTAATAAATGAAATTATTGCCGAAGGTTATTTACTTTAGTGTAAAAACTTATTTTTAAATGCCAAATAAAGAATTTAATTTTTTTTGCTATTTAATTAATCCGCGGTTTAATTTTTTAATGATTTTTATTTCATATAAAAAGCATAATTTCAAAAATTTAATTTACAAATAGTTTTACGAAAGCGAATGGAATATCTGTATGCTCAATAATTTGTTTAATTTTTAAACTTAAAATGTGTATCGTTACAAATAGGCTCTGATAATAGTTTATACATTTTTTTTTTCATTTGCTACACTCTGTTTGAGACGAGTATGTTCAACTAGTTGTTTTGCGCATTATTTTAACTCATAACACTCGAATGTAGAAAAAAGCTCTTTTCAGCCAAAGCTTTACGCTCTAAATGCATTTAATTTTGATAGTTGAAATTATTGAAGCTTAAAATCATGAATGAATCTTTCTTTATTATTAATAAATAAATTATTAATTAATAATAAAGAAACTATAAAGCTGCAGAAGTGAACGTTTTACTGATTTGCATTTCACTTTGTATTTTCATTTAACGGCGCGGGCGTGGCAATAGGGATTTATTGGCATTGCAAGTTCTGTCAATGATCAACTAGATGCACAGTCATTACTTTAATATAATCTACAACATGCATCGTCAAACAATTCGGTTTTTAATATAAATAGCAGTTCATTACTTCAAATCTCAACAATTTTTATTTTTGTATTGTAGTTTTTTAAAAAACAAAGACGAAAATCACTTTAATTGAAAGTTTTAAACATGAACTATTTCCTCTTAAAGAATTTTGTGTTGCAGAAAATTGATAAAATGAAAATTCCCTTGCTGTTATTTATGTACATGTGTATGTATATTTGTAGACTTTGTAATTTTCATAAGAGGAAAATTAGGTTACCATTATTACACAAATAATTTAAAAATGAGAAAATAAATTTTCCAGCTCCTCAATAAACAACTTTTTCAACTCAATATATATGCATACATACATATTTATATATGCGAATGTGTATATGTATACTCTTGAAATTAAAAAAAAAAAAAAACGGAAATTCACAGAAAGCTTTTGGCTTGCAATTCCAAATCCTGCCGCACTATTTGTAATGAATGTTTGCTTGTTTGCTTACTCAGATATCTACGTAAATATACTTTTTTGCTTTCTGATTCACTTATAGAAATATTTTTTAACTAAATTTAAGCACTATTTTCTGTTGGATTAATTTCTTAATTCTTAATTTCCATAGTTTTGCTAAAAGTTATAAGCTGCGACTAGTAAGGCGCAAAATAATTTCTTGAACAATATTGCAGGGTGCACCAAATTTGAAGAAAACCAAGAAAAAGTTAGGAGAATATATTTCATTTAATATTTATAATTCTTTTTAAAAACATGTTTCCATTAAGTATTTAAAAACACTTATTTTAATTAATAAAATAATATATACATAGTTGGCTTCATATTATATATTCTAATATTTTTCTTATGGTATACCCTACTGTTGCAATTTGTTTATGAAATTCTGATGTGGAATTATTCATAAACCGTTTATTGTATTTTAGACATTCCGGAAATCCCGCCTCTTCCTTCATCTTATCTAACGTGCTCTTTGCTATAAAATCAACAGTCAACTAACACCCCTTTCTGTTCCGCTTCAATCATTTTCAATTTTCTAATATATTGTAAGATAGTTTTATTTTAAAATTTAGTGTGTATATAAACTCTACTGAAAGCTACTTGTGTTCGGAATATACAATTTTATTAATAAAGAGTGGAAATGAATTTTATTAATATAGAGTGGTTTTCAGCTTACCAATCAAAATATTATAGTTTGAAAAAAACCGGAAGTTCTTAGCTTTTTCGTGTTTGTGCTTTTTTCAATTTTCAGTTAGTTTTGAGCAAGACAAAATAACTGAGCAACTAAGCGTCGTAAGAACTAGCTGAAATAAATACTATTTACATTATCATTCGTTAATATCACGATAAAATATAATATTTCGTCACTTAAAGTATATTCTACTCATATAGCACATGTGATTTTTTATCATCACATTAATGCTATTCATTGATACTTGTATATAAACAAAACAGATATACACATATACATATGTGTATAAGCAAATGTGTTTAGCAAGAATATAACTGCCGAACAGCACACAATTTCTCTCTTAAAAGGACTTTTTGAAACCTCACGAGAAATTGATATGATCTGCATATCATATGATCATATGATCACATTCACATCATTATTATCACATCATACCAAAGTAGCATTTTTATTTTATTTATATATAACACAAGCAATCTATACAATTATTTAAGCACATAACTAAACGAAATAAGCACAAAAGCACAGTTTCAGCACTGTTAAAAAGCTCTATATGCGCTTGCATGTGATATTTATGTGAACACAATTTCATATGATCTCGCCATCACAGCTATCGCAACACAAAAATCAGTATTTGTACTGTATTTATTTCAAAGCCAAATATCTAATAGATACACTTCCACACTGTATGTATATATGTACGTATGTATATAAACAAAACAAAACGCAAAAGCACAATAGCATACAGTACTGAATAGCAGCAGCAGCAGGAGCAGCAGTCTACATAATAATGTATTGCCTCAAATCATACTAGAATCATCGCCTCAGTTGGTATTCAGAGCTGTCTGAGAATTGTTGTGCAGATCGGTTGAAAACGCGCAAAATAAATAATACAATAAATACATATGTATGTACATAAATGAAAAATCTATGAAAGTTACGTTTAAAAATCGTATAAGAAAAAATTTATTTCATATATTTATGTACACATATGTATAACGCGAAAAATTCCGATACATAAAAAATACTGGCTGAAGGGAGGCTAACCAAAAAGCATATAAATATTTTACATATACTCGCATAAATAAATGCTTTTATTGGCATGTGTTTAAAAGTACATATACATATGTATGTATGTATATAATGTAAACTTTTTTTTGCCGCTGCCTATATGACGACACGATAAAAGGCGTTGAAGGGCTGCAGTGACAGCAGATCTTGCGACAATCGGGTTTAAACGCTGCTGCAAATTTACTACGTTTTTATTCCATATTCTTTTCTTTTTTAAATTAATATGCGCTTGCGCTTCTTTTTACCGGTATTTCGTAGTAAATAAACGAGCGAGTGAGAGAGTAGGCAAGAAAAATATAAAAAAATAAACAAATAAAAATTAAAAATCGTGTAATATTAAAATAAACGCATCAACGCAGATATTTTCAAGTGAAAATTAAAACTTATTAATACATTTTACTGCATAAAGTGGAACGCGGCATCACTGAGCAGACGTGTAAGCGGACGCAGTTCTAAATTCGAGTTAAATTCATGCAGCAGTTTACAAACGTACTAAGAAGTAGTAAAATAAATTTAAAAAAAAAGTGAGTTAATCGACTATTGTTGAAGGTAACTCTCGGCATTACAGTGAAGCGCATGTTTGAAGCTTTCGCGTATTTTAAGCACATAAATTTAATTAGAAACGGTAAACAGTGTTTTGAGGTATGACTAAACGGCACGTGCTTGCATTATAGAACTACAATAACAAATAGTGGCATACTTATTTGAAGCGGCTTTTAAATACATTTGCGATACTGTGATTTTCACCAATATTTCGAAATTTGAATTTGAATTGAAGCAACTAAAAGGTTAACAGTGTGGATTTTCGAAAAACATACAGCAGCGGATTAGCTAAACAGAGTACTTCAAAAACAAAACCAAAAGAAAAATAAATCAATTACAACCGGAAAGCACTACTTCTGGTGGTCGAAAGCAATTGCGAGCAAACAGCATTTAAGCTAAAAGAATAAATTTAACAATAAAAACAAAAAGAAACAAATAGCATCAACAGACGTCTGGTCAACCAGCGACTATAGTGTAATGGTGAAACCGCTGTTGGATTACTTTTATCAATACGTTTTCGATTGGCTAGATTATTGGCGATTTCAATGCAGCGGCAATTGCACACGAAATAGCAATAATAGTTATAGCAACAACAACAACAACAACAACAACACCAACAGCAAATACTACAATTTGTTGTTGCGTTACATTGGCACAGGCAAGCGGCCGTTTGCAATCAGATACCACCAGCTAAACGTCCAGCCATAGCTTGAGGGGGCGTGAGAAGCACGAAAAAAAAGAAGAAGAAGAAGAAGACGAATAAGAAATACATAGTATAAAGGCAGAAAAATAAGAAGAATATTTTCATTCAAACATACATATATGCTCCACTACATACTATTTTATTTTTATTTTTGTTTAAGTAAACAACGTCAGAGCATTGAAAATTATAAATAAGCAAGCAAATAAAGCGATCAGAGCGTGAACTGAAGAATCTAAAGCATACAAAACATAATAAATAAATTCATACATATGCAAATTAACAAGCAAACGCGCGCATCCAAAACATAAAAGCAACTTTAGCAAAGAAAATCGGCGCAAGAAACAAGCGAATTCTTCAATATACATGCATACATATACTTAGCTTACTAAAAATAGCCACATTCCCGATAAGAGCAGACGACGTACGAGTGAAAAAAATAATAAAAATAAAAATAAAAATAAAAATAAAAATATTTAATGCAATCGCACAACTTGAAAAACATATGCAAAAATTAAGAGAAACACAGCACACAAACGCCAAGAACATTAGAAAACTAGAACAACTAAATAAACAAAGAAAAAAATAAAAATAAAATATTGAAAATTCGCTAGGCGAGAGAGCATTACACAGCAACTCAGTAACAGAATAGCACAACACTTTGCACTTAATTTGCATGTTGCAACACTGTGCGCCCGAGTACCAGCAGCTTCAGCTAAAAATCGCGAAACGATCTACAAACGCGCGCCAAAGGACATTAACCTGTAAGAGACGAGCACAGAGCGAGAAAGTTTGACAAATAATCTGTGGAAAAATAAAAAAATATATATATACACATTTTTTAATTAATTGAAATCAAGCATATTCACGCAATTGTCGGTAGCAAAAAATATATATAAACTTCTCGAACATTTTCGGCGAAATCTAGCAAGCAATTTTCAGTTTTCAATTAAAAAAAATTTGTTTTTGGCGCCACTTCGATAAATATTCACTGAATGTATGATCTCAAAATCCACACGTAATCGTAAAAGCACTCAGACCTATCCCAACGTATGAAATAAATAATTAATAAAATAAAATCAAACACAACTACACAGAGGAATAGTTCTCTTTTCGAAAAGAGAGAATTATCGATATTATTAACCAACTCGGTTAAATGTATAAAAAAAATTATAATAAAACATATCAAATAACATTGTTAAAATATCATTTAAATAATAACTAAAATTCAAAAATTATTAAAAAATAATTTGACTAATTTAAAAAGCATTTAAAAATATCCTGCATTTCTCCGCCGAATTAAAAACAAATATCTGAAGCTGCCTCCTACGTCATCAACTATTTAAAGCATTTTCTGACGCCTCATAAACCGGAAAGCAAAGTTTTTTAAGGACAATAAAGTGAGTAAGACATTTGCATTCTAAGTTATTTGCATAAGTTGATAAATTTACATACATATAATATATAAACATAATAATATAGTGAACTTCATAGTGAGTAAGAAACATAAGTACATGCATATGTACATATGCTTGTAAATATTTACACGTATGTTTGTGGTAAAAGAACATACAAATTAAACAGCTTTCAAGGGTTAATTGATACGCACGCTGGGAAAGTGGTAAGAAGGCAGAGAAGTAATTGTAAATAAATTCGAAGCAAATTAATTAAACTGCTTACGAGATAGATTTATATACCAACCGCTCCTTTAGCTTTACCTGCTTCTAATTTTTTTCAAAAATTTATTTATCTTTTCTTCATTTATCTTTATTATATTTTATTTCTTATTATTTAATTTTAGTTCATTTCATTCTATTTTTTATTTACTTTTTTATTTGATTTAATTTTATTTTATATCAAATATATTGTATTATGTTATTTATTTTATTTAAATCATCTTTTTTATTTTTTTGTTTCCATTTTATATTATTTTATTTTATTTTAATTGATTTTTTTTTTATATTATTTTATTTTATTTTATTTTATTTTATTTTATTTTATATTATTTTATTTTATTTTATATTATTTATTTTATTTAAATTTATTTATTTTTTTTATCTAATTGTTTTCATTTTATTTTATCTTATTTTATTTATCCTTAATTAAATGTATTTTATTTTAGCTTAGTATTCATATATAAGTGAAATTTAACTATATTTAGAATTACTATATTAGAAACTGCATTCAAAGTTGTTGACAGTTTCAACAAACTAAACGTTTACAAGGTTTTATGCACCTATGTGTGCATATTTTTTGTATATGTATATACGCACCTACATATTCAAAGTGTTTACATGTTTAGATTTCTAAGAAAATTTCTAATACAAAGTCATTTCCAGTACTAGTGATTATGCCCTCCATCGCAAGCTGATATGTGGATCAAGTGTACGTCATTTACGAAAACACTTTCCATGTAATCGCAAAAAATTATTGTGAAATGAAATTTTATGATCTAAGAAAATCTGGTTTTCACACCACTTTTCGGCGAACAAGTTGTATAATTCACCGATTCTGCGTAAAGGTGGGCAAGTAGTTAAGACGTATGTATGAGGATTTATGTAGGGTTCCAACATATGTTTTTGTTGTTTACAAATTGTTGGACTTTCGCGTTTTTTATATGAATTAAACAATGTTTATATTAATTAATAGGTTTTAATATTTTATTTATTTAATTTTTTTTATTTATTTCTATTTTTTATTTTTTTTTTTATTTATTTTTTTATAAATTTTCTTTAATTCACCTAATGTGATTATATTTAGCATTTGACCAAAAGTGACCATAGATGCAAATGTGCATATATATATGATTTTATTTCATTATCAGCTTGCTAGCTAAATTAAAATCAATAAGCATTATATATATATATATATGTGTATATATATATATATATAATGAAATAAAATCACTTAAGCCGACAAATAGTGCTTTCAGTTGTCCGCTTCTAATGACGGCTGATTAAAATATCATTTAACTGTCAAATAAACCATTATATTTAATTAATTAACATTCAACCAGCATATCTTCGTACAATCATCAGTAACAAATTAGTGCGTTGTACATAAACATATTATATATATAATTTTTATTTATTTGAATAATATAAATAGCATAAGGAAATCGATGTTATATGAACACGAGATATCAATTCGTTCAATATTATATTATTATAAACATATATAGACAACTAAAGCAAGCTTGCGGCATATTAATAAGTTTCACAACTTTATCGGCACAGTAATAAGCGTGTTATGTCCATATAAAGAACTCTATCGTGCAGCCGTATCGCTGCAGATACATAAATACTTACAAACACATGAGAATGTGCAAAGCTGTATGTACGTTAGGGACATTATATGCTTGCTATAAAATAAAACAAAAATAAATTAATTAAATCAAACTAAACACATAATCAAATAAATAAAATTAAAAATAAAACAAAAAAACGATTTAATTAAAATAAAAATTAAAGCAAAATAAAATAAAAGTATAATATTATAAAACAACATAACATAAAATAAATATGAAAAAACATGAATTATAAATAATAAATAAACTAAGCTAAAATTAAAAATAATATAAAATAAAATAATAATAAAATAAAAACTAAAACAAAATAAAACAAAATTTAAAATAAAATAAAAAAATTTAAAAAAATAAAATGTATAAAATAAATAAAATAATGTTATTAAAATAAATTAAAATAATATAAAAGAAAATAAATCAAATAAAATAAAATGAAATAAAATAAAACGAATTGTAATTATTTAAAATAACATAACATGAAATAAATGTTAAATAATGAAAACGAAAAATAAAATAAAAGAAAAAAATTTAATCGAAATAAAAGATAAATTAAATTAAATAGATCAAATTAAACACATCATCAAATAAATAAAATAAAACAACCCAATAAAAATAAAAAAATAGTATAAAGTATAATAAATATAAAATAATTTAAAACAAAATATAATATAACTAAAATAAATTAAAAAAGACAAAGTAAAACAAAATAAAATCCAATAAAAGAAAATAAGTAAAATAAAATAAATCAAATAAAATAAAATGAAATGGAAAAAAATAAAATAAAACGAAATTATAATAATTTAAAATAACATAACATGAAATAAATATTAAATAATGAAAACGAAAATAAAATTAAAAATAATATAAATAAAGTAATATGAAATTAAATAAAATAAAGGAAAATAAAATAAAATAAAATAAAATAAAATAATATAAAATAAAATAAAATAAATAAATTAAAATAAAATAAAATGAAAATAAAATAAAATAAAATAAAATAAAATAAAATTAAATTAAATTAAATTAAAATAAATTAAATTAAATTAAGTTAAATTAAATTAAATTAAATTAAATTAAATAAAATAAAATTTAAAAAAAAATATAATAAAATTAATATAAAAAAATACAAAATGAAATGAATTTCAATAAAATAGAATAAAAACAAGATGTAAAGTGATAATATAAACATATCAACGAATTATATATAAAAAATAGATCTGCCCTAATATAAAAAAATATTATATATTCCGCAGCATATTATTTAGTACTCCGTCACGTAGTCAACAACAAGTGACGAGACAGTCCTATCCGTCTCAGGCTAAATATGTACATTTGTACATATCTATAAAGTTTGCATAGATGTTCATATATAAAGATGCGAATCTCAATGAGAATTATTGAGCATTTCGAGATAAGTATAAATATTTGGCAATATGCTGCATATGAATGTACAAATGTTTATATTTGTATATGTTGTTTGTTTGGGCATTTCGTTTTATTGTTTGTTTCTTTATTTTACTTTTAAGGTGAACTTTTGGAATGACGTAAAAGTTGATTTAAATTTGAATATATATATGTAAGTTCGTACGAGTACATACAAATACAATAGAAATGTTTTAATGTCATTTTTTAAAAGATGATAATTACATTATGTGTTATTTAAATAATTATTAATTGCATATGCATATTGTGGATAATTTCTATTATTTTTTATAAAATTTACATATTTTTTCATGAATATTTAATTGTTTTTCAAAACTTTTTTTAAAGCGCAATAATCAAAAAAATATATATTTTTTGTTGAACGGTGAAATCGATTAAATTCTTTAACAAAAAAATTATATATAATTTACAAAACTTTTTTATTGAACGTTATTTAATTGTTAGCTAAGCCATAACTTGAAGGATAATGACAAATGACTAAAAAAAATATATAGAAGGAAATTAAATACGAGTAAGCACTTAGCATAGCAAGCAAACTTGGCATATATGTATATAAAGGGTGATTTTTTAAGAGCTAAAGGAAAATTTTTCAGAAAAATGTATGAAATCTTAATTTCAATCGATAGTACGGTCCATATAATTTAACGTTTGAAGATTATTTCTGGCTGATCTTCACTCCAAAGTCGACTCTGCTCATTTACGCTTGCATTGAAAAGATGAACTTTTGATCATGCATTTTAATAATAAAATTCAATAATTTGCAAGCTTGGTTCGTTTGTAAGACGATTCATGGTTAAATTATGGACCAAACTGAAGATGCTTGACAGTGATACGAAACACGAACCGTGCAAAAAAGAGAATAGCTAAAAAAGTACCCTTTACTAAACATTCTGCTATTGACTTTATCTGCTTATACATATATATATATTTATTTATTTGTATATCGATGCACATATGACTGAGACAAGCGGGAATATATGTACATTTGTTTATATACAATAATATATACGAGTACATAGTTGCCGAGGAGCAAAAACGTGGTTTAAATGGGTTTGTGGGTCACATGTGAATGTTGCGATTAAACTGAATATCGTTTGACGGCAAGACAAAAATGACCACCCGCATAGGGAAAATACGCTATATTCTATAATCCTTCTTTGATAAAGTCGAAAACTCTGCCTTACTTGCTGGAAATATGAATAATGTTTATAACTTCTGATACTATAACAATCAATCATGCAAAAAATTAAATTAAAATGGGCGTAGTAAAAGGATAGCGAGCCGGTACAAATGGTCTCCAGTAACGACCAGGATGTTTTTGTTGTGTATTTGATGGGTAAGGTTAGAAAAAATCCACTATGAGATGCTCCCCTACCACCTTTCTCTTAATTTGCACCTGCAGTGTCAGCAATTAAACCGCCTGAATGAAGCAATCAACCAGAAGTGCCCAGCTTTGACCAACAGGAGGGAAATTGTGTTTCATCAGTACAACCGCAGACCACACATATCCATAGTGACTCGTTAGAAGCTTCGAGTGCTCGCTTGGTAGGTTCTTAAGCATCAACCGTATAGTTCAGACCACGCACCAAGTGTTTACCAATTGTTTCTGTCTATGGCTGGTTTGCCTGGTGAAGAAATAACCACAAGAGCCTG